ACATCCAGCATCCAACATCTAACATCTAAAATCCAACATCTAAAATCGAACATCTAACATCTAATATCCAACATCCAACATCTAATATCCAACATCCAACATCCAACATCCAGCATCCAACATCTGACATTCAACATCTGACATCTAATATCCAATATCCAACATCCAGCATCCAACATCTAACATCCAGCATCCAACATCTGACATTCAACATCTGACATCTAATATCCAACATCCAACATCTAACATCCAACATCTAACATAAATAAATATATATATATATAAATCAAATACAATATAATATATATTTGGGTTGTTGACTGTTCATATGACAAAATAAAATGGATATTTCTATAAGTACTGTTTACTGTGAGGACCTCCTCAGACGGGCCACTAGGGGGCAGCTGGTTAACACGTCTGTTATGAGGAATTACAACTCTTTAAATCACACTTATTTTATTACTATTTTATTCTGGAAGACATTAATAAAACTATGTTGTCTGGAGAAGATTTGCTATTTAAAGTATCTTAGACTGTTAAAGTGTTCATATGTATTATATAATAGTATTATAGATGACTTTATTATTATTATTGATGCATCAACATGTAAACAGCTGCTAAAAATAAATGAAACTAGTTTAGATATCAAAGTGCTCATAATAATAATTCACAGGCTGCTTCTATTTTAGAAACATTATTAATATAAGAGGTAATATAATAACATAATATAATATTAATGTGTAAAACAAGCAGCCGTCACATAAAAGAACAATATTTACCTCAGAAATGTACCTTTCATAAAAGTGACAGGATGTGAATAAACAGAAGAAGAAGAATCATAAAGATCACAATGTTTTCATAAATACATGAATAATTTAACCTGTTAAATTAAGTTTGTAGAGCTGAAAATAAATAATGAAATAATCTGTGAAGGAGTCGTCTTCTCTGACGTGATGGAGACGAGAAAAGAAACGTTTACGTATGTAATGTTTCCTCACACACACACACACACACACACACACACACACACGTAAACTCATCAGAATAAAATATCAGAGTTGTTCATTTTCTTCACTGAATAAAACAATTTAAAGATCAGTTTACACCAAAACAACTTGAACCAGGTTTCTCTGGACTTTATCTTTATATATATATTATATTATAAAATGAATTATATTACATTACATTACATTACATTATATATTTTATTATCCTATAATATACAGTCTCGGGGTAACCAGCTGTCTCTGGAGCTCATTAATTATGTTGAAGGCAAACTATGACTTGGGACCTGGT